TTCACGTTATCATGATAACGTGCAGCATTCTAAATTGTGCTGCTTTTCTAAAATTATAGATGAGTATTATAGCACAATTTCAATAAAAGAATTTTATTTCAATTATATTTCATAATACATCATAGTGATAAACACTTTTGACTCCTTAAAAATTTTTATACATTTAATTCTAATATTAAAACTGTATTTAACCGTAATAATTAATTTTGCTTGTATTTTATAGTGATTATTTTTTTAAATTTATTTTTAGTTCTGCATAAGATTTTTTTATTTACTGTTAATTTAATTTATTAGCCAAAAGGAGCGGTAGCCTAGAGAAGCTGTTAGTTTCGAAGCAGCATTTCGCGCTGTTTTACTATAAATATCCGTGTCTCCTTGCAAATTGTTGTTACCAAGTATTATGGCCCAGTATCATATGTAAAGAAATTAAATAATGAAGAAGAGCTGCATGAGTACATGTATGTTTTTCGCACTGTGACAAAAACGACAGTATCTAGAGCCATCAAATTTTGGATAATGTAATCCTCCACCCGAACTAGGGCATCTGGACGGCCGAACTTCGAATTTGTTTTAATCTATTTCATATTTTGTAAAACTTTAACGAATTTTTGATTAACAAACTGAAAGAGTTCAGAGCGAGCACTGCATGGAAAATAACAGTTTTATCTCCAGTGTGGAAATTTTATTCTGTTTTCAAATGTATGTGGTTTACGGGGGAAGAACATGATATTCAATAAATATAGGTAACATACAAAACTTTAAAAAAAGGTTCCTTTTGGGCGTAATATAAAATATGAGTGCTTCTAGATTTTATTTCATCTTTTTGTTTTATCTTTCATTACGCTCAGAAAATTTTATGCTCCGAATTTTAAGAATTATTAAAATAACTAATCCATTTTAATGTTAATAATTTAATGATCATATAATCAAATAAATATGATCGTTTTGTAATGTTATTATAGTTTGGATAATCACTGCCTGAAAATGTTCATTAAATTAAAAAAAAAAAATATCAGATGTTGTTTAATTTTACCTTATTTATTTCAAAGCATCACGTACTATCAATCTTGTTTAATTTGACGTTATTTGTACGCAAAGTTAAGTTCATGAATTTTGTGGCTAAAGTCTTTACCGTTTTACTACAAATTAAAGATGTTTGTACAAGAATTACGCGAAATGCTGCAATAAAAAGTGCTTTAATGAGATATATTAAATCCTATTTGAAAAAGACTTTGGCTTTCATAATCTCAACACTATACAGCGTATCACATTTAATAATTAAAAAGAGTTATGTGATATAAACGCCATAGCTTTCAGTGTTAAAGTAAACCAGATCGTTCCTACTCTTTCTTGCCGACATGTCGGTGACGCGCGCCCCGCCCACTGGGTTAGTCTATCTCTTATAAGGTCCATGTGTATAAGGCCTCCCTCCAAACCAAAATTGTTTATAAAAAGCTTACAAAGTACGTTTTTTCATTTAGATGTTTGTTTATTGAAATAATTAACCGCGGAGGTATATTTCGTAGTTTTATCATTTAGGTGCCCTCTAACGGAAAAAAAATGAAATTTAATTTATGAAATAAATTATTGTTAAGCAAAATCTGGGTTAAAAGCATAAAACTGATATACCAAATTAATAAACTGGTAGACATTAAATTGTACAGTAGATGATGCAGAGGGCAATTTATTAAAAAGTCAATATTCACAACCTAAACGCATGTATAACTTTATTAACATAGGAAAATTGTTGAGAAAAATGCGACAATTAAAGCCTTGTGTTCTTAGCCCTAAATATTAATCTGATGCACTCGGAAGATATGCTTCTAATGATCGTAAGAATATTTCTTCAGATTAGAAAATACCTGATCTGATTCATTACAAAGTGAGCATCCTTGCTTCATCTGAGATTAATAATGTGATTAATAATGCAGCAATAAGAGCTATTTTGCACTAATATGGAACAGAATTCTTGGAGTTATTTAGAAGGAAGAAACATTACTTTAAGTAACCAATTATATAAATTGTTCGGCCATTATTTTTCTCTGGGAATTTCTCAGCTGAAAGAAGAATCCAACAAAATTAAGTATTAAAAAAAGTAATCAGATATGACCATCTTAGTTTTTAAGATCTATTTCAATCCTGTTTTTAATTCTAAAAGAAAATACAAACAAACGGATCTAGATTTTAAATTATTGCATTTTCAAGTGAATAAACCATCGTAAGACTTTATTATCTCTTAATATAGCATAGCAGTTGTATGTTTACTTATTTATGGACGGAAAATACAGTAAAAGTAAACTGCATTGAGTCTTAACATCTTGGCTCGATCTCTGGTTTGAAAACCAAAATCGCATTTCTTAAGTTTAAAATCGCTTGAAATAGAATTAAGCATAAGCGTACTAATCATACATAATTTTTTCTTGTTGCTTAAGGAAGAAGTATTCAAATAAATTTATATTTCATCATAAGCATTTACATTTGTTTAGAGTTTTAATAAATCTGTATTAAAATCTAAGACTGACAAGCTCATAGAACAAGTGAATATGAAAGTTGTTGAAATTTTCTTTCTAATGACTATCACTACTGTATACTTGTCTGTATTGGTTATAAATCACTAAGGGTGGCTTTCGTAATTAAAGCATTTAAAAGCCTTTCATTATATGAAGGTTAATTTTTTAAATAATATTTTTAATATTCAAATTAAACTGCATTTGAGTGAAGATGAAATGTTTGCCTTCGAAAACACTTTTGTTTATAAAAGTTATATTTTAATAGTCACGTTCTTATATCATGATATGCAACTTAGATAAAATCAATTTGTTGATTACATTTTCTAAGATTTTCAAAACTCTTTCTGTCTGAGGAGTTTAAACAAATCAACTAATGTAAAACTTAAAGCAAATGATTAATAGTACGAAGCAATTATTAGTTACAGAATTCCTAAAATATATTTATAAGTCTATTTTCGTGTTATTATGTGATAGACGTTTCTGTTTACATCACATGTTGATTGAGTGTTCAAAGTCAAGATATCCGAATCTTCTAGTTGATTTGAAATCATCCGAAGCTATGATTGGTCGACTTCCACTAACTCTAGAATGTTAGGAAAAGTACATGTATATTAAGATGAAGCTTTATATTTGTTTTCCAGTTGATGTCAAGTTTTAGTATTGTGCATAATTACGTGAGCCCTCTATTATCTGTCAATAAAAATAATAACAGAAAGTCATCGAATTAACGATTTAGCTCCAAATTCACCAGAGAAAATACGTCTTGAATTAATATTTATCAATTATAATTTTTCAAAATGTGTGAATTTAGAAAATATGAATTTCTGAGTAAATTAGGAAAAGGTAGTACAAACATTTTGTGTATATAATAAATATATATACACATATTTACTTATTATAAATTTACTTAAAATTTAAAAATTATCATAGCGCAGTTAACCTGTCTGTACTTCAATCAGGGTAAAGAAAAATTTGTTTTCATAATGTATCGAATTCTGTGTGCCTCTAGATGTATTTGATAATTTGATCTTTTTAAGCTTATTTTTCTTTATTATGATAATTACTAATAATTTAGTTGTATTGTTATGTAATGGTGTTCCATTAGTTGCAGATAATAAGCGCTATATTCAAATCTATGTCTTATATAGTAAAGCCCAAAAGTAGCCGAACAGTAAAGTCGCCGAACACTGATAGTTCCGACTGTGGCTCTAATGCTCGCGAAGGGGCTGGCTGCATGGACGTTCTCGTGATTTTCCCCATATGCAATGTGTATACGAGCCACATTCCCTTATCAAGTCCTCCACGAAGGAATTCTTTTCCTTTAGGCAGATAGCCGTAGTGTGCTTCACCGTAGTCTTAGTAAACCAAACCAAAACAAATTATGAGTAAAAATAAATTTTCATGGAAATATTTCGTTTTAAAGCTAAGAAGAAACATATTAAAATTAGGACTTTAACACATAGAAATGTTCAAGCTTAAAATGATGCACATTTTAATTTTTATCTTTATCAATACTCTTTGTTCTTAATGAAAATAAGTTCATTAAAAAGAAAGAAGTGATATCAATCTTACAGATAATTTGTGAATAAAAAATCAAGCCCAAGGTTACTTTTTTTACGCTAAAATTATCTTTTAAAAATTATTCTCACTTATGACCAAAACAAACGTCATGTTTAAACCTTCACAGCGCTAGTTTTTAAAAAAGATGCTCTTATGTATGATCAATTATCCATAATCCCAGCGGGAAAAGTTTTACAAGAGTAGAAATTGTCAATAAAGTTTTATTTATCAAGAGAATTTTATCTATCTAAACTTCTAAAAGTAGTCTTCTAATCTAATCTATTTAAAAGGCTTTGGAGACTTACAGGAAGCTAAGTGTGGTGAACCTTCTCTAAGATGGTTGCTCTTCCGTAAGATTTTGTACTTTTCAATAGGTGGTCGTTTAATATGTTTGCTTATGTTTCTAGAAAAAGTGGTCCTTTTCAGTAGTGGGGATAAAGGTGAGGGAATTTCAAAACGGGGGTTAACTGTATAAGGTATTTTCTCCATCCTTTCTACGTGCCTTCGTGATGTAACTGAAAGCACACTCGACGCGTATCCAGAAAGTCTGGAGTTTGGATACCGGGAAATGCACTGCCCATTTTTCACGTTCCTGTATCAATATAACTTAATGATTCTATATTTGTAATGATCTCTTTTCAATTACTGTTATCATTATTTTTATTCAGAAAAAGAACCATCACAAGTTTAAATAGCACCAAGCAGATTTCGCCTTAACTTATGATTTTAAATCTATATACAAGTAATAAAATGTCACGGAATTTATAAGTCTGACATTCTTGAATGTTTCGGAGACATTAGAGAATATAGAAATATTTTTTTTCTCTAACCTTCATTAGTAATGAGTTTTTTCCTACTTTTTTAGGGGCTCCAGAATCGCCACACGACTGCGTCATAACAAACCACACTTCCCAATCCTTGCTAATAGAATGCGAGGCTGGCTACAATGGAAGTTTACCACAAATGTTCCACATGGAGATTTACAACTCTTTAGTTGAACACATGGTAGATAACATCACAAAGCTGGACAAGCCGACTTTTCTAATAAGAAATTTGTCTCCAGGCACATCCTATGTTCTCGTGATATACGCATCAAATGTCAAAGGTCGGAGTAATTCAGTGGCCTTAGTAACATCTACTCCTTTTCCTGCAGAAAAAAGAACAGGTAATTACAACATGTATAAAAATTCAATAATTATTTACTAATCATATTAGTAGCAGTATTTGATTGATTTTTCTTAAATATGTTTTTATCAACGTTTAGAATGTCTCTGCAGTTGTTTTTATGTCTTCCCATATAATTCATAATTTAAAAACCAATAATCAATCAAAGTAAATATTATATATTTTTCATAAAAGGAGGTCAAAAATAAATATTCGGTAGGATTTTCATCTAAGAGTAAAGCATTTATACAATTTCTAATATTCTAAAACAAAGCACTTTTTTAACATTTATGAATGAAATGTTTTCAAACCTCCATGGCAAAATTAATTTTCAGATTTAAGAAGTAAATGTAGAGCTTTTGGAGCACCAAAACTAGCATATTTTAGTAATTTAATAGGGCTTTTCCTATAATATCCGATTATCAGAAATTAAAAACGGCTTCATTCATTCTTGTTTTCCCAATCAATATCGCTTACGATATTTCATAATTTTGAGCACTTCCATAATTATAATATCATATTTATATCATAATTCGAAAATTCCATACTTTCTACTATATTTTTCGTTCCTTTACATTTGACAAAACATGTCGCTAGTCACTTAACTAAATCAAGCAGAAAATTAAATATTTTATGTAAAAAAAAAAAAAAAAAACCTTAAGGTTTAAATTACAATTTATAGCTACTGACAACTTTTATCTTTTAACATAATTATGATATATTCTGAAAGAACTTATCTCAGTCACTTCTATTTTTTCATTTAAATTTTATATATATATTTAATTTTAATTTTATATGAAAGAACGTAATGCATTATTTCTAAACTCAGATTGAAACGTAGCGTATTTTATATACTTCAAGCTCAACATAAAAAATTATATATATTTAGACATATACCATGCAGATAGATGCTGTTTTTAGATAAAACACAATTAATCACTTCATCTTCTGTAAACAGTTTTTCCAAATATTTTTAAATAATTTTGTTTGTAGGTTTCGTAATTCATTACATTAGTTTATAGATAATAATATATCATTAGTTTATAGCTAATGAAATATATCAGTGATCATTGAATTAATGATTTTAAAATTGAACTTCGTTTAAGATTGAAAAGTTTTAACCTTGTCCTGTGTTAACAGCATCACGAAGTTAATATCATAGAACGCTGCTGAAAAAATTTCTTTAAAAGATTTTATGAGTAAAAATAACACGAAGTGAAAAATTACATTAATTGCACTTTATGATAATGCTCTAATAACAAATTTATTGTAGTTAATGCTCCTTTTCTCTGTTGAGAATAAGATCGTTTTCATAATGCCTAACTTTAATTAAGAGGAGAAATCCATTAATGTTTGTAATCAGTGCCTAATTATTAATGAAGATCAGTCAAGTTATATCTAAGTTAAAGCAAAGAGTTTCAGAAATATTTTATATTGTTAAATATTAAATTGCTTATGAAAATTTCAGGCGCCATAAATAAATGTAAAAACTCATTGAACATAACTAGAGTTTATGTGGTCAAATGCAATATATATACTGAACAAGGTGCATACATATAGTCATTACAAATATGAAAGTAACACAATATAGTAAGTATAGCTAAGAAATCTATCTCAAATTTTTGCTTTATGAATTTAAAGAGCAACCTAAACTCTATATAGAAGTACAATTGCTCCAGTGTTTTAAAAAAATAATTAAAACAGACAAATTGAGCAAACTTAAATCTCACACATTTAGTTTGAGAAAAACATTAGAGCTATTACAAAAAGTTAATTCTAATTGTCATCTTTTAATGGTGGAAATGTTGGCAATATCAATTAACTATAACAAAATGTAAAACATACCTTCCGTTCTATTTTCAATACCATCGGTGGGCCACACATCTGTTTTCTTTAACACAAACAATTTACACTTTCACACAATTGTAAAATCAATCAAATTAATCAATCAAATTTTTGAAATTACGCATTTCAGGCCGGTGGACACATGAAACACATTAAACAGCAATTTTGTAGGAGTTAGCATCTGTTCTTAAGTACTGAATAGGTTAGCAATAGGTCAACAAGGAACCGGCTTACACCGGAAGTGAAACTTTTATCATTCATTATTTTTGTGACACAGCAAATTAAATACTAGTTAAAAAAAACCTGCAGTACGCAGTTACAACCAGAGACGTGCCAAAGAAGGAATTTCACGCACAGACGAAATGAAGCCATTCCAAGCCGAGTAAACTAGAAAAACGAAAAAAATAATAGGTTAGATTTAAATTTCAGGCAGCACTGCAGATTTCGTTGGAAAGATCCAATAGGTGTTGAGAGACAACCCACCATGTCTGCGCTACACAATGACCTTATGAGAAAAATATCTCTTATAAGGTCCATGGGGCACAAGGGTGACGTTGTCGCTCGTTCAGGGCAGGGAAGTACAAACCTTCTTCGACTAGAGCAGCTACCGCTCGCTCTGCCCCTACCCCCGGAAAAATTGCGCAGTCGCTTTTTCTTCATTTGGCGGGAGTCTTGAACTTGGCGAAGAGTGAAAAAGAAACGGTCACCCAAATCCAGCAACCCATCAGGGTGCGAAACTGAGACTTTATAGGGAGGGGTATAATCGACTTCCAGAAGCTGTCTTTCCTCTCCATAATTCAAACGAAATACTTCTAGGCTATTCTGAGAAGTCAAAAACCCTTCCGCCGAATAGAGAGGTCAACAAGAGCTAGCCTCGCTCGAAAAACCAGCAGGGTTCCATTTTAACACAAGGATATGCTTCAGACCCTCGCCGACAATAGGAGCAGGGTCGTGCGGCGCACGACGGCGCCGAGTCAAAGAGGTGCCGGGCAGTTATTAAATCAAGCAGTCCATCTCGCTGCCTGTCTGAACAGGAAAATTCTTGTTTTATTTAAAAGCCTCCCCGGTGGTCGACTCAGGTAAAATCTGGGAAGCTACTGGTTAGGATCTGTACCTACGAAGTCTCGACCACAGGTGTTTAAAATCAGTCTTCGCAGGACTGGAGTCATCGCTGAACTGGCTGGTTAACAGGGACCATATGGTACTGTCTTGTCCTTTCTGTTGGTTGTGGTGGAGCTAGGAGCTATATGGTCAGATATTCATGGTTGTCTGAGGCGAAACACCCCCGTCGGTGGAGTTGGCGAATTCAGCGAGCCCTTAAATTGCTTGAGGTTTCCAGTGGGCGCCTCGAGCTTCAAAACTGCATATTCATATCCTTCCTTGGTTTCCACCTGGGAATGTCTAAAGCAGACGTCTACATACCAGTGTTGATTGGTGGCTCGGCCCCTGTTGATGGGTTGAAGGGTTGGTGCCCCTGCAGATGTTTTTACCATCTGCCATCAACGGGCAGACGGAGGCGGGGAACGTTGAGTTACTGAGTGTTCCAGTCAACTCAGCCGACTTAGCTCATCATCGGCTCGACCGATAGATTAGCGACTTCTTGGATCGCCTTTAGGGGTTGGGGCGTTTAACTGTGTTAAGGCTGCCTCGAGCTTGCCATGTCTTAGTGCCCCTTCCTTCTAGCGCACTGTCCCATTTGACCGAAAGGTTATAACAAGGGCAGGAGTTCGTCTGCGGCGTTCTTTTCTGTCTTATTTGAACGTGAAAACACGTGATGTGATGCCGATGCTTATGTAAGGGTAGACGCCGGCGCCGTAGACGCATTCGACAAATTGCTTAATCCTTATTTTGTGTCTACTATTGCAATTGTAGTAATTTGTGCAACATTTATCTTTTTTGTGATTTTTTTTATGATTGCTTGTTGTTTTTGTTATTCTACATAAAAAAAGGTAAGTGCAGTTACATATTATGTTAAACATATGTTTATAACTCAGAAAAACAACGATTTTAGCATAATTACACGAAAACTGTTTACCTCTCATGTTTGAACCATTGTCGTATCCTTATACCCGAAAATTATTAAGATCTAAACAATTTTTCTCTAAAGTCTTTTATAAGAATATTGTTATTCCTTCATCGGTCGTATCTGTTGTAACACAAAGTACTAAAACCTTTTCTTCAATACTCGTGTCTGTATTTTCTAAATTAAGATACCTCATGCAAACCGATATGTGACTTTGATGGCTGGCAATCAAGTAAAGTACAAGGGGCACAATCAAGTAAAATTGAAAAATACTTTGCCTGTTTGACCTCATTTAAAATAATTTGTTTTATATTATTCACCAATAAGCTAATTGTTTAATTTTGAATTTTATCTCCAAGGTAATGAAGCATATTTTTTGAGTTTGAATTTTATTAATATTACAGACAAATTAAGGTCAAATTTTCTGATTATTTCTATACACTTTAAAAATTATTATTTCTTTCGAATAATTTGTTACTGGAACCAAGGAAGCCTAAGTTTTGTTTGGCTAAAACCTGAATGGCACAGATAATTCTTCCAATAACATGGCACCAATGCTTAGTCTCTTTTTTTAATAAATTTTGAAATTCCAAATCAACAAGTTTATTCTTTCGTAATCGTTCTAAGAAATCGGTCCAAAGGCGTAGATTCCGGAAATGCATTTTATTTTTTCATAAAGTTCTCATTTAAATGGTTCCAGTCCTTAAATTCAGAAATACTCAATTTTACATTGCTGAAATTGTTAAAAATTTTGTAACAAAAATAATAAACAAAATTTGTTTCAGCAGAATTTAGTAACCAATCCCTTTTAACTCCTTCATTGTTTGGCAAGATTTGACAAAAGTACATATAAAAAACTGACGTCCCTTTTTGTCTTTCGAGAAACTGAAACTGGAAACAAGATTTTTATAATATCCAGGACCATTTTCTATTAGGGGTTGGATTTGGGAGGGCAGTAATGGACTTGGGTATAATCCGGAATCATCAGGCACAGGCAGATGCCTATCTACTGCAGAAATTGTGAATTTCACCAGTATTTCTTCTGCTTTTTCTTTTTTCTACCGGTTGCATTGTACGTGTAGGTGTGATTATGGCAAAGCCTCGAGAGCTATCTGCCTAAGAGCTATCTCCAT